ACGGGCAATCAAAGCATAAAAAGGACCAGAAATTCAAATCCATCTGTGTGGCAGTGAGTAAACTTTTACTTCATCTCACTAGGTATTTGGTTCCAGAAACCAACTACTCATGCTGTCCATCAAGTCTAACGGGGAATGTGCTCATCAGTCATTTCCTTCAGGAGCAACACAGGCAACTGAGTTCGACAGAGGAACAAAATCCAGACAGTCAATGTAAGGGGTGGAATCTACACTAAAACACTGATTAACATTTGGTTTCTAAAAGGATTGACTGTAGACATGAGCGAGAACAAAAATAAAGAGATGAAAAAAAAAGGAAAATCGAGTGTAGAGACAGCACTCCATAGGAGGAAAAGCCGTAGGACAGGAGGCTGACTGGCTCTGCTCTGCCCTGCCCAGAACTCACAGAACGGCCCTGAATGGGCCAACAGATGGGTCTTAGTTCCCTAAACCAGACAATCAACGAGTGGAGACTAGATGGCTTCTGGGACCCTCCCACCAGTTCTAAAGGTCTATTCTTCTCTAATTGAAACTCTGCACCCTCTTGGAACCCATTCTTATAAAATATTACCTGGGAAGTCTGTAAGCCCTGGTGGCGCCTGGCTGCTAACCAAACGGTCGGCAGTTGGAACCCACTAGCAGCTCCATGGGGAAAGGTGTGGCAGTTTGCTTCTGTAGAGATTACAGCCTTAGAAACCCTATTGGGCAGTTCTACTCTGTCCTATAGGGTTGCTAAGAGTCGGAATCGACGACGGCAATGGGTTTGGGAAGTCTGTGTTGGAACCTCGACACAGATGATCTCACATCACCTAAAACCGGATTAAAATCTATGGCTATGAAGGGCAAGGAGCCCTGGTGGTGCAGTGGTTAAGCACTCAGCTGCTAACAGAAAGGTCAGTGGTTCAAAAGCACCAGCTGCTCTGCAAGAGAAAGATGTGGCAGACTGCCTCTGTAAAGATTGACAGTCTTGGAAACACTATGGGACAGTTCTTCTCTGTCCTATAGGGTT